GTATCATGTTCACGATGTAAATAATATTCAACTACCTACTTATAAGTTTTCTCATTAAGTGAATGTTATTCTTTTGAGAAATAAAGCATCTTTAAACCGAAAACCCTCGCCTTAAAAATTAAATGTCACGCGAGATAAACTCAAGCATATCCTATAAGTGCTGACGACTGTACACAGTATGTACATTGTACACAACGAACGAATCGCCGCGCATGCGTAAGGTCTCATCCAAATTCGAGTCAGAGAGAATTCAACTCGAGTTAATTCGAGTTAAGCCCAACTCGAGTTAGTATCACGTATTACTACGTATTTATCACGTACGCTTCAATGTAAGTAGTTGTAAACGCTAGACAATCTATAGTTACTAGTTTACGTTGCGAGACGGACTGTCTTAGTCTATGAATTGAACTAGTTCATTTGAAAATACATGAACCGTCTTGAAGTAGTCCGTTCCGCCCCGTTCCGTTATATATATATATATATATATATATATATATATATATATATACTAGCGACTCACCCTCGCTCCGCTCGGGTTCGTCCCGTTCGTTCCGTCTCGCAACATAAACTAGTAAAGATAGGATAGACTATCTAGCGTCTACAACTACATTAAAGTCGGAAGCGGAATGTGAACCATAGTCCACGATTTGAACTAGTTGATCTAAAGATGTGTCAACTCGATTTACTAACTCGAGTTAACTCGAGTTGGGCTTAACTCGAACTAACTCGGGTTGAATTATCTCTGACTCGAGTTGGATTTGCGTGGTAAATGAACGAATCAAGCGAGTATGCGATTGACCTTACGCAAGCGCGGCGATTCGTTCGTTGTGTTCATGCTTTGTACAGTCACTTCAGACACTTCAGACTACACATTTATGTTGCAAAATCGCTCCTATTACAACCGAATAAGATGCCACAGTAATTAACTTAATCGCTGTCGTCCGTACTCCTGTCATAGCGTATCAACCGAATGACAGCGTTATAATATCCATACTAATATTATAAATGTGAAAGTATGTTTGTTTGTCTTTCTTTCAGTCGAAACGGTGTAACGGACTGGGGTAATTTTTGGGTGAAGATAGTTGGAGGGCTGGAAAGTGGTATAGACTACTTTTACCGCGGAAGATTATCTCATTTCTACGGGAATACACGTTATAATACAACCCAAAAAAATATTTATGAACAGAATTACTTGAAACTTGGTATTAACGCTCTTCAATACAATTAAATAAATATATATTTTAGCATTCTTCGAAATTTGTCCCGTAAGGGGGTAAAATAGCGGATGAAATTTTAGTATGAAACCTACCTTTTTAGTGTTTTTTTTTGGAGTTTTAGCGCGAGCGAAGCCGCAGGTTCTGCTAGTAATAATATAAATAAATAAATATAAAAGATATAAATAGTTATAATTGTCCTAATAAATATTTGTTTAGAATCTGTACCATTTTTTTTAATATTGTTGCGAAGCCGAGTCATTAAATTGGTACATACAAAACAAATCATTCACTTCAATTTTCATCCAGTTAACTCGAGTTCAACTCGAGTTACGTGAATTTCAACTTGAGTTATATTTTTTCTAAGAGTGAGGCGTATATATCGGAACAGGTTAAAAAAACAGGTTTTTAAAAGTAACAACATGGAACTGTTCCGTCATAACCGAAAAACCTGTTCCTGTTCCAAAACGCACCTATTACGATTTACGAAACAGCAAACAATTGTCAATACGAATCTGTTACAGATACAAAATGGAACTGGAACACCATGGAACTACCCTGTTCTATGTTCTATACATAATACATATAATAAAATTGTACTATGTCGAATCTGTACATTAAATATTTTTTGGAAAATCGTATTGAAATAAACATTATTATCGATACAGAGGCCGAATCTATAGTTTAGTTTTTAGAATATCTATAGTTTTTAGAATTTTTGTCTGTCTGTCTGTTAACGCATCATAGAAAAACCACTGAAGGGATTTTTATGAAATGTGGTATGGTGATAGCTGGTTATCCGGGTCAACATATAGGATACTTTTACCGCGGGAAAATATCTCATTTCTGAGAAAAAATACAAAAACTGCAATGTAAGAGTATACTAATATGTAAAACCTAAGAATTTGGTTTTTGGTCATCTGAACGCGGGTGGAGCCGCGGGCAATGCTAGTCTAATATATGCTAATAGGAACTTAGAAAGAGACAGGTTAATATTGTTCTCATCTTATTGTTCATGTATGATCTGTGGTTCTTAGCTCTTTTTCTTACTGTTCACACATTTGGATACACATAAAAAACTATTTGGGAATTTACAGTTGAAAATGAAATAAAAAAAAACAACAATATTTTCGCGTAATATTATTATGTTATTGTGATTTTATTTTAAATAAACTTTAAAATTAAATATTGTTATTGATATACCTAATTTAATTAATATATTACAATTTAGTTCAATAAAATTAAAAATGAAATTTAGCTACTAAAATTTCAATAGTATGTTTTTTACGTGTATCCGAACCGCTTAGTCTGTTATTGTAGTATTGATGGAACAGGCTGTTATTTTGGAACAGGTTATTGAAACTGTTATTTCATTGGAACAGGAACAGGTGTAACAGGTTTCCAATTTTTCCTAGTATGAACTATGAACCACCACTAATTTTTTCCGAGTTGGCACATCACTATCACTAATTCATATTACATTCATACAAGGATTCCTTGTTTATTATAGTAGATAAGACACACTATATAGAGTGCTGTCTTTTCAAAAATTGAATATTAAATTTTACTAATGAACTTAGATAATGAATAGATGTTATAAGATCTTCCTTGAACGTAACGATAGCGCGTTTCAATTTCAATCAGCGCCATCTAGTTTAGTTATCTTTAACTATTTCATACGTAATAGTCTAGTGGGTTGGTACTTGGTTGTCCGGTGACAAATACTAAGGTTCGAGTCCCGGGTCCCGGTGTTAGAGGTAATTATTTTTTATTAAAGCTAGTGTTCGCCAGTTGTTAGAATTCAACCATAATAATTATTGAAAAGGAAAACATATTTGTATATGAATACAATTTACTTATCTATATAGAAAAAACTAATTATTTTCAAAAAATACTTTTTGATAATACTGAAAATCGTCAATGCTCAATAGTTAATAAAACAAAAAAAGAAAATCGGTTGACAAACAGAGGAGAAAGCTATTTTGTCTTTGCCTATTTAAGGAAATATAGTGACACACCGACTGCAGCGCCACCTACCGGAACCATTTGTGAATTCAAACCTTGCAGGAGCCCATTGAAATATACACACAAAATTTCATCCAAATCGGTCCAGTCCTTTAGGAAGAGTAGTTTAACAAACACACGTACAGAAGAATTAGATAACGAATTTTTATGTTCTTAATTTTAACGTCTTCTTTTGAAGACGTTATCGTTAATTATACTTAGTTAAAATACATATTATTAAGGCGCTCTTTTCCATAATTTAGGATATTTTGAACCATTATAAAACCACGAATATAATACATATAGTTCTAAAATTCATATATGTTATAGTTAAGGATAATAGCTAAGTACCCGGAGAGGCCAAAACACGATTGGATTGGAATAGTTCACTCGATAGAAAAAAAATTCAAAGATAGGTCTAAAAATACCTTAAAATCTCTGATACACACAAAATACATTATTATATGATATGAAAGTTATACTCATAGATTTAGCTTGTCATTATTTAGGTATTCGGAGAAACAGAATTTCATTTATTAACTTATATTTATGGCAATAGGCGAAAAACAGATAAAATGAAACGGGTCGTCGCGCGCTGGCGCCTAGGGAGCGGCGATTCTGGAAAAGAGCGCCTTAACTAGAGTATTCGTCTCTAGGAAAAAACAAAAACAAATCTATCCCTCGGGAACCACACATTTTTCCGAGATAAAAAGTAACCTATGTGCTATTCCAGACTATAAATTTCATCCAGATCCGTTCAGCCGTTCTGGCGTTATTGAGTAACAAACATCCATCCAACCTTCGTATTTATAATATTAATGGATAAATTGCGTGCAAATGATGATGAATAATTATTTTTTTTCCCAAAATTCATACATAAATTGGGGTTTTGCAAAATATTGATATTATTTTTATTTAATGTTATGAATAAATTCAAAATTATATTAGTATCTGTTACTTCACAAAAGTACATTTATGGAAGAAACCTTAAAGATAAATATCCTGTAATGTACTTAATATAACTCCATCTCTAGCTTTCAATCGAAATTGTAACGAAACATGATGACTTGCTAACTGGTACCTACGCATTATCATCAATCATGAGAAAAGTTTTACTAATACCACTAGATAGCGCTACTTCGTAAAAATATATATATAAATATATAAGAACCAAATATGTACTTAATTTTTATATAATATTATACAATCGTAACTGGGTTTGTTCATGTATTGTGTAACTTTTGAACGTTCATAATTATAATTCATATTTATCCAATGTATTAGTTTTGTTAAGTATCCGATAGATGTCGCTGTAATATCTTACCAGGTACCCATCAGTTTTTTGACACCTCGACGTTATAGTGATGTCCTAAATATGTATTACGCTTACAGCATTAAATATTATATACCTTTATATAGTGAAAACTGAAAATAAAAAAATATATAATATAATTCAAAAACACTTTTTTTTATTTTTTTTATTTTAGTATAAATAAAAATACATTGTTACATAAACTTTACGTTTCTAGATTTGAACTTAAATATTTTAGTAATTTGTAATACAAAATTGTATCTAATCACAAGGCGAATGCCGAATAAGTAGCCATATACCTACATTATACGAATACGTCATAGAATCTTAAAATGAGAAATATCATAAACAAAAAAAAATGACAATAAATAACCAAAATATAGAAATATGAACTGATTCTTGAGATATAATAAATAAATAAAAATTAAGCAAAATCTAACAACTATAGTACACTTTAGTAGTTTTTAAATATGATAACAGGCAACACCATTGAAATCAACACACCCGGAGGGCCGGAGCCCGGATGTCATAAGTGTTGTTGCGCCGGCGCAGAAACAAAGTTGACAGTAAACGTGAGTACTGAGTAGTAATATTATTATTTATTATAGTTTTTATAACGGATTAACTATTTACTGCGACTTTCTAACTGTAATATAAAAGTTAGGTTTTCATACAAGCTATCTTTAAGTTGATAGAAGACAATATTTTTAGAGAGTAGACTTAAATAAATATTGATATTTATTTAAATCAATATAAGTGCGGTATCTTGTACCAAACTTAATTCTTAAGTAATACTAGTATTACCAGTAGATATATTAATTATTAAAGAATAAGGATGTGTAATGCCCAGCAGTGGGACGTTATTTTATTTTTTTAATTTTAGGTATTCATAGATTACCTATGTATTAATTAATTTTTGTTTTTCCCAATAATAAATTTTGTTACGTATAAAAATGATAGTATCCAAACAATATATTTTTAAATTAATATTTGGCAACATTAAATGAATACACTTAGTAATTTAAATTTTCCCTGAGCGATATTCAAACTCGCGTTCCTCAGCGTAAACACATATTCTGACTACTGCACCAGATGGCAGATATTCAAATATACTATCGCATCAAATATATGACGCTAAAAAATTCTTTCATCATTTTTAAATTCAATTAGGTACAATCAAGTTAAGATTCTCGTATTGTATCATGTTAAACGATAAACTCACAAGTTTATATTATGTTAATATGAAAAACGTCGCGTAGGTTACAGGTTACGTCAACAATAGACGTACAAACATACACTTGACTTATTAATAAAATATTTCAGATGGGAAAGCTCTTAGGATTCACTGTGCTTATATCTATTTTGGGGGTAGCAGCATGGATGGCTTTACCAGTGTTATTTCCTAAGCCGCCTCCTCAGTTAGACCTGAATGAGTGGTGGGGGCCTCAAGAGCTGAAGGGCAAACAAGATACCAGCATCAAACCTTTCCAAGTGAAATTTTCGGATGAGGTAAGATACGGTCTGTAAATAAGAACTAAACCAACCGGCAACCCCTTGTTGAACCCAAGTAATGATAAAAAATATATATTTTGTTTATCGTTCCGGTTTTAGCTGATCTGCGTAACATTTTTTTAATAGAAAATCCTAAATACACCTTAACTACATACAAGATCGAAAAATATACGTATCTATAATATTAGGTTTTATTTTATCTTGGAAAAAGAGGGGTTCGGTTGTGCTAAGAATAGTTGGGCGTTAAAATTGAGGACTTGGCATTACGACTTTTATCATAATTTTTTACCCTTTACAGATGATCAAAGATCTAAAAGCTCGCCTTAAAAATCACCGTGAATTAGTACCTCCCCTAGAAAGCGTCGGATTCGAATATGGCTTTAATTCAAAGCAAATGGACTCGTGGGTAAAGTATTGGTCAGAAGAATATAAGTTTGTTGAAAGAGAGAAGTTCTTCAACAAATATCCTCAATTTAAAACAAACATTCAAGGACTGGACATTCATTTCATTAGGGTGAAACCTCAGGTAAGTTTAAAATGAACACAAACAAGCAGATGGCTTCATATCAAAAATATTGTTTCTCTTAATTTGCCATCACTTTTGGTCTTTTGGTTTTGGTCTTTGGTATTTTGGTCTTATTCGTGTCTTGAAAATTATTAACTACCAAATATCTATGATGGACCCGAGCGAAGCGAGGGTGAGTCGCTAGTTAATTAATATTCTAAATAATATACTATTCTAAATAATATATATATATATATAGTTCATGTACGTCCATAAAACTTTGTTTTTGACACAGATGTAGTAGAATCTATAAAATAAACGCTTTTTGCTCAAACACTGCAGTGTATACATTTTTAAGGTCACGTGTCAAAGTCAAGGCAACTTCATTCAATTGTCTTCTTCCTTTGATCATTATTGGCAATGGTTTTTATCTGTTATACTATTCCATACAATTATATCAAAGAAAATTTTAACTCAATATCAACTCATTAATAAAGACATTTATTACTATCAATCTATAGATTGATTACAAAATGATTTTTTTGTCAAAACATTGTGTTTTAAGGACATCTGCGATGCTATATATGAGATACTTTTTGACTATGAATTAAAGTTCACTTTTAAAACTACTTATGCCCGATTTCACCAACGTCACCTAAGTTTAAGGGATCCCCTAAGCAAGGTTAGGGGGCTGTTAGGGGACAGTTTCTGTTTCACCGACAGTTAGGGGTCACCTAAATGTTAAAAGGCCCCCTAAATTTAGGCGCTCGAAATATGGGCTTAAAGACGATCGTAAAACGAAATTTAATTTAGGGGCTAGTTTAGGGGAATTTTAAGCTAGGGATCCCATACGTAGGTGGTAGCTTATGGGTTGTTGGTGAAATCGGGCATTAATCTAACAATACAGAAAAAGCTTATCGTTTGGGAAAAAGGAATTTCAATGGTGGTTGTGATTAAAACATTCCTCGACGTAGCAATTGGTTGACCTGATTTTTTGCATATAGTTAATAGAACGGATAATACCGGTACTCTCTTGTAACGTTTCACTAAGTAGACCAAAATAAAAATACACAATGACGACATGATTGACGACATGATCGGCTCAGTTTGTAGTGACCCTACTTGCTGTGCCAGCGGTCGTGGGTTCGAGTCCCGCTGGGGCATTCATTTGTATGTTTGTACTCCAGTCATGGTTGTTTATGTTTATATATAATATGTATGTATTTAAAAGTTATATATGTGTAGTGTATCAACTATCTGGTATCCATAACACAAGCCTCGTAGCTTACCATGGAACTAGATGGTGCTGTGTGTTAATGTCCCAACATATTTATTTATCTATTACAACATAAACAAAATACATAATTTAAACAGTATATAACAATACATTGCAGAACTACAATAAAACTCTCTACAATTAGATATTCTTCAATATATAGGTACCATCAGGCGTACAAGTGGTGCCACTCCTGTTAATGCACGGCTGGCCGGGCTCAGTGCGGGAATTCTATGAAGCCATACCGTTATTGACGAAACAAACTCAAAGTCATGATTTCGTCTTTGAAGTTATAGTTCCAAGCTTGCCTGGATATGGTTTTTCAGATGTAAGTTCGTAAGACATTTGCAGGTCCAAGCTGAAGATTCTTACACTGTTGGTAAATAAAAATTGGTCCCTTGAATGTAAGCATCTAACTTGATCTAAATGTTAACTTGAGAATTTCCTCTACACAAAATCAACTTAAAAGTATAAAGATAAAAGAAAACCCATAAAGACATGGGGAATTTAAATTTCTAATAATACGCAGTTAATATGGACGCAATTTTAGTTTAAACCGCAAAATATATTATAAATTATAGAATATAAAAATAATTTGGTCTATCATATTAATATTGCAGGCTGCAGTGAGACCAGGATTAGGAGTTGCTCAAGTGGGAGTGATCTTCAGAAACCTGATGAAGAAACTTGGTCATAAAAAGTACTACATCCAGGGTGGGGACTGGGGTGCAGCTATAGCTGGCAACATGGTCACCTTGTTCCCAAGCGAGATATTAGGATACCACTCGAATTTTCTGCATATTCGAGTATATTCCATAAACCTTAATAGTTTTTAATATTTGATAATTTATCATTCATCTTTACTCATATTTAGAAAACTATACAAAATAATATTCTCAAAGAAAAAGCCAACAATTAAAACTTTGGTCAGAATAGAGTTATTAGGTAAAAATAATTACACAAAACGAATCATACGTTTTAAGACTATTTAAAATAATTAAAATATTTTAATTTACTTTGAAAACTTTTATTTTTTTAAATTTATAAATAAAGAAACAAGGTCGTTATTGCAAAATTTTAAAACACTTTTATTAAGCGTGCCATATATAAAAATTATTATCAAATTTTCAGAATGGATGCTCACAAGTAAAGCAATTTATTGGATCTATCTTCCCATCTTTAGTCGTTGAATCTCATTTAGCGGATAGAATGTACCCTCTTTCGAAATTATTCTCATATTTTATGGAAGAATTTGGTTACATGCACCTGCAAGCTACGAAACCTGATACCGTCGGTAAATATATAAACTACAATATCAAACTGTATACACGCTTTTAGAAAAAAAATCGATTTACATAATATATAAATTTTTGAGGCTGATTAATTTGGATAACTGCCTCGGTGGTGTAGTGGCTAGCATGTACGGCTGCACACCCGGAGGTTCTGGGTTCGAGTCCCGGGTTGGGCCAAGTTTAGTTCTTGAGTCTTTCTGTATAGTAAGTCTCAGTAACAGCCCAGAGTTGGAATACTGGCGGTGTTTCACTCCCGTGCCTCGGAGAGCACGTAAAGCCGTCGGTCCTGCGCCGACACTCTCACCGGTCGTGTCGAACAGTCGTCCCACCGGAGTATGAGAGTGACAGGAATAGAGAGTGCACGTTGTGTCTGCGCGTACACTTGTGCACTATAATATCTACTGCACAGTTGGCTAGTCTCAATGAGATTGGCCGCCGTGGCCGGAATTGGTCAGGAGAGAACATATACATTATAGATATTTACTAACGACTCACCCTCGTATCGTTAACGTTCGTTCCTCCTTGCGTTTTAGCGTTTAGTATAGATTTCTCAGAGATGAGACATTTTCCCGTAGTAAAAAATATCCTAGATGTTGATGTTAACCTGCTATCATCATACCAAATTTCATCAAAATCTCTCATGTGGGTTTTCCCTGATGCGGTCACAGACAGACAGACAAAAATTCTAAAAACTATAGATTTGGCCTCTATATCTATAATAATAACTATTTAAATAAGATTTCTATAAAATATTTAATAATTAATGATTACTAGAGGCTTCCTCGCTTCACTCAAGTACCTCCTGAGGTATCATTTTTATTGCCTCTATTACAAACTATTTAGACAGTACACGACGCGCCGATAAGCAATTTAATGCCCAGTTTTTTTCCGATATCGATTAAATTTTTTTGATTTTTTGAATAATACTAAATTTTCGGATGTATTATGTATATCTGATTAACTCTAAGTATTATTGTACTGTATGTTTCCCAAATATTTTAAAAAATAAAAATAAAATAAAATTTAATTTGATTTTTGGTTCCCAACATGCTTGCGTGTTAATCTAAGAAAGCGTTATGCTATTATGATTTCTGACAATAAACATGATTGTATCGGAATGTAAAATATTCTATAGATATACGGTAATGTTCTTCCTATTTGTGAAAGCATTTTTAACATCAAATCAGTAGATTTAATATAATATTATACAGGGTCATTTTTAATCTACTGAAAACCTTTTGGGAATATACTGTTTACATCGTAACAACAACATCTTAACATATGTAAGAAAAAAAAAATTTCTTAAATTTTACAAAAATAAAAGTATTTTTATTGTTCCTTCTAAATTCTATTCCAGCAATTAGCAAAAGAAAGCGCGTGACCGGTGGAGGGGGAGGGGTGGAGGGGTGTAGGAAGTGGCCCTTACTCATTTAAACTTGGCCAGATGCTAGAACTTTACCGTTTAGGTGCAATAAAAATATTTTTAGTTTTGTATGAAAATAAAAATTTAAGAAATATAATTTTTTCTTGTTACAGATGTTGTTGTTATGATGTAAATAGTATATTCCCAAAAGGTTTTCAGTAAATTAAAAATGACCCTGTATAGTGTTGATTAAATATTATTTCTTTTTTTTTATTATTTCAGGTGTGGCACTCACTGATTCTCCTGTAGGTCTTCTTGCATATATTTTGGAAAAGTTCTCAACTTGGACACGTATCGAGCACAAAACGTTGCCCGATGGAGGATTGACCTTCGCTTTTACCAAGGAACAGTTGATTGATAACCTGATGGTCTATTGGTCTACTAATTCCATCACTACTTCCATGAGACTTTATGCCGAGACTTTGAGCAATGCGCATCGAGCACTAAACCTTGATAGGTACAAATAAATATTAATCTAAAAACTTACAATTTTATTTAATACTACAAAATGTCTTTAATAGCAGGGAGCTTAAGGGCTAGGAAATAAAAAATCTACCATGGCAATCTTGGACTTGCCATCCTCTTATATATACATACGTTTTTTGTATAAATGTTATATGTTAAGTTCTAAAAATACAGCACGATTAAAAAAAGCATAAAAAATGCTAAACTAGTTTAACAGAAAAAGCTTTAGAAAGACGACGAGAGTGACGAGATACAATTGATTAGAAACATGACTTAACCGACAAAAGTCGACCAATAAGTTTATGGTTGGTATCTTAAAGTTTATTTTCAGCAGTAAAAAGTATCATATGTATATGTTAACCGGATATCCAGCTATCATCATGCCAAAGTTTATCAAAATCTGTCCAATGGTTTTCTCGTGATGCGATTTCATATAGACTGATAGAAATTCTAAAAGATATAGATTCGGCCTCTGTATCGATAAGAATGACTATTTCAATAAGATTTTCCAAAAAAATATTTAATATGCAGCCTCGACTCAGTTAGAATTTTACTATATGTATAGATTATCCTATAAATATCTTTACATCTGCTTTCATTTTCAGTTATCCAACTTTAGTGCCAACTTGGGCACTTCAGGCCAAACATGAGCTGGTCTATCAACCGCCAAATATCCTCAGATCGAGGTTCTCAAACCTTCTAGGAGTAACAGTCCTGGATGATGGAGGGCATTTCATCGCCTTTGAGAAGCCCAAGGTGTTTGTTGAAGATGTCTTCAAAGCAGTCAAATCGTTCAGGGAGTGGCACAAGATAAAGACTGAACTGTGATTTTTAAAAAGAGTTATTTTTATTAATATATAAAAAAATTTTACTAAATCTTTTTATATATTTCGTATAAATATATGGGTGTGTTAACTAAATAAATTGTTTTATTTACACAATTTACATATTGACTAGGTATATTTAGTATAAGTAAGATAACCTTTAATACAATAACCTTAGAAACATTAACCAAAGCATCTAAATCAAATATGCGAATAATTCTAATTGATTTTTTTGTTAAGAATGAGATTAAATTAAAAAAAAATCACTTCAAAGAAAAAACAGGACAATTTTCATTTTTTTTTTTAATTTGATATTAAATTTTAGAAAAAATATATAACACTTTTCAATTCGATTCTTTGTTCTGTGGCCACAAATTAAGCTTTAATATGAGTTTTAGCATATTTTATTTTTTATTTTATATTATTTAAATAATAAACCTTGTACAATATATCTATATATATATATATATATATATATATATATATATATATATATATATATATATATATATATATATATATATATTATTCCCTTATTAACGTCCCACTGCTGGGCATGGGCCTCTCTTTAATACGAGGAGGATCAGGCCATAGTCCACCACGCTGTCTAATTCCGGATTCGCGGACTTCACATGTCTTTCGAAAACTTTTTAGGATAACTCAGACATGCAGGTTTCTTCGCGATATTTTCCTTCACCGTAAGATTATAACGATATCTATATTTAAAAAAATGTACCCCGAAATTATGGAGATTACGGAAGTCCCTTTTCTATGGAGATTAAAAACTTGGAACTTGACACTTTTCACTGCGAATAACTTTTTAATTACCTTGAAGGGAAAAGACCGAAAAATTTAAAATCTATGTTGATTTTTATCCAGTCTTTTGTTTTGATTGTTTTAAGATTAATTCATTGTTAAAATTGTTTAGGGTTCCATAACGATACCAATATAACAATAGAAAGAAAATGCAATGAATAGTCGAAGTCTTCAATAGCTAGTCAAACTTTCGAGTTTTCTATCATTTCATATTATGTTTTGACGAAACCCGTACATTGCAGACAGCTTAAAGCTTATTTTCTTTAGTTTTTTTAAACTTAATAATTATTTGTATATTATTATATATATTACTTGTGTAAGTCATTACAAATAATATAAATATATTGTTGGGACATTAACACACAGCACCATCTAGTTCCATGGTAAAGCTACGAGGCTTGTGTTATGGATACCAGATACTTGATACACTACACGTACATAACTTTAAATATTATAAATATAACACCCATGACTGGAGTACAAACATTGATGCTCATTACACAAATGAATGCCTCCAGTGGGACTCGAACCCGCGACCGCTGACGCAGCAAGTAGAGCCATTACAAAGTGAACCAAACGTGTCGTCAAGTAATAAACTATTAATTATGACCTAGAATGACACGTTATTTACTACTACTAATATAGAGACGCACCCCACTGAAGAGAGGTTATCTATACATATGATAAAACAATCAACATATAGGATACTTTTTACCGCGGGAAAATATCTCATTTCTGAGAAAAAATACAAAAACTGGATTGTAAGAGTATACTAATATGTAAAACCTAAGAATTTAGTTTTCGGTCATCTGAACGCGGGCGGAGCCGCGGGCAATGCTAGTTCGTTATATAGTATAAAATGTATAATGTAACAATCCGTAAAATATATAGCGACTTACAGTATACATTTATGATGGGGCGGCGAGCGTGCGTTCTGCAGATAAGCGACGTCAATAAGGGATGAAGTTGGGGGGTTGTTGGGTTGTCTGAAATAGATTATAAGTTGTATTTCTACAAGAGCAGGTTTATATTACAGTATCTTAAATTCCTTTCATACTGTATTTTCTTTGTGAAAAGACTGAAATGCAAAGTTTTTCTGTTTTTTTTTTAATTTAGATAAAAACGCGCGTTATCGACAAACTTCGACAAGATAAACGATGTCCTGAAGTAACACATAGACTTCAGTCAAACGCCTATTTAGGCATCCGAGTAAAGCTAGAGCAAATCCAGATGTGATTCTAAAATTTACCTAACGCTAAGCCGTTTAGTCTAAAGAGCGTGCCAAATAGAAAGAGCAAAACATACACTGTAATACATTTTCTAGGGTTCCGTATCCGAAGGGTGCCAACCCTATTGCTAAGCCTCCACTGTCTGTCGCCGTGTGCCGTCAGTCCGTCTGTCAGAGGGCTGTGTCTCATGAACTCTAATAGGTAGAGAGTTGTAATTTTCACAGAATATGTATTTCTATTGCCGCTACAACAATAAATAATAAATAAAAATACAAGAAACATTTTTTAAAGTTCGTAAGCGATTGTCGAAGTTAATATACTACATACATAGAGTAAGAGACATATTAATAAAAAGTACATGTACGATGATAAGGAACCCTTCGTGTGCGTGTTCGACTCGCACTTGACCGATTTTTTTTAATTTGAACCGGCAACCACATTTCAATTGGTATGACATTAATTTATATTTATAAGTATTTTTATCTCACTCCCTCAGTTATTTGTCGATACTTGACTGCCGCCCTTCGACTGTTCCCCTAAAGTCTCACCCTATATTAAATCCCATAATGTATGGTAGATTGAGGCTCAATGATTTTACACATTATAGGTTTTTTAATGTGACAAATATTTATGATGTGAAATTTTTACTGAAGCGTATTTTTGCGAATAAAGATAACTGGTATTTGCCTACGATTCTGTCTGTATAGTTGTTTTATATATTTTAGATTTTAAGGTGTGTTGCATTAGATAGTTTATAACTTGTTTTAAATCGGCTATTAAGTGCCAAAAGAATTTTCCAAATCGTTCAGACTTTTCTTGAGATTAGCGCTCTCATTTGTTTTCCGTTGAATTTATATTTTATAGTGAAGTCGAAAGGTCAGATCCTCGATATTTTAAAGTTATGTCTTATTAGGCAAATATTTTTAATATTATGAAATAAATATTTGTTATTTACAAGCTATTTAATTAAAATGCGAATAATTCGGTAATTTACTTACGCTATGTTACATCAAAACGCCAAATTCTAATTTAAATATCCTTATGTTTTTGTATGTAAGTCACTTAAATGTTCAATTATAAGGATATATATATCACATTATACGTGAGCAAAGCTAGAGTTGTTAGTTAGTAGTATATACTAATATTATAAAGAGGTATAGTTTGTTTGTTTGTTTAAACGCGCCAGTCTCAGGAACTACTAATCCGATTTGAAAAAATATTTTTGCATTAGATACTAGATAGCCCGTTTATCAGTAATCATAAATGTCAACAAATCGGCCAGATTTCCATACATTATAGGATAAAGCCAAAACTTTTCTACTTCGCGGATTCTGCTGGTAATATTATTTAAAGTACTAAATTGACAGTTCAAAGGCATCGTCCCTTTAAATTCAATAATCTTCTCTCTCATAGTAATCTCACATATTCATAGCAACATTAGCACTAGTCACGTGACCCGACGTCGCTTGAGGGCAATAGATAAAGAGATTCAATATTTGATCGCGTAATTGCATTAGGGGTTGGTTTTTTAGCCTTTTATCGTCAGAAGTGCTGTGTTTTGATACTCTCGTTGACTCTACGTTGATATATTTGGTTAATTAATATGTGATAGAGTTCGTATTTCTTATGATTTATCATTAAGTAATATTTGCTACTACTAACTAATGCAAAATTCTTTACATAACTCTTTAAAATTTAAAGTTAATTTAAAATAGTTTTTATTAATTAAACTTAATTTTTAAATACAATTCCTGAGAAATGATTGCTACGATATATTCCAAGGACGCTCTTGCATGCGTGAGTCCATTTGTGTATAGATAAGTGTATGTATGTATGTATGCTACTCCGTTGTGATGGCTGGACTGATTTTGATGATGTTTAGTGCACAGCTAGATTATAACCTTGAATAACATTACATAGGACTTGTTAGGTATCCAGGGACGAAGCTGTAGGAGAGGCGAAGGTCACTAATCCATACTTAATATTATAAATGTGAAATGTGTGTTTGTTTGTCTTTCTTTCACGACGAAATGGCTTGACGGATTGGCGTGATTTTTTGTGTGAAAATAGTTAGAGTGACATAGGCTACTTTTAGATGCGGGAGATTGTTTCCCATGAGAAAATACAATAAAAAAATTATTAATGATCAGAATTACTTGAAACTTGATATTATTACTCTTGAATACAATTAATTAAATACGTGTTTCAGCATTTTTCAAAATTCATCTCATAAGGGGGTAAAAGAGCGCATGAAAGTTTGTATGAAACCTACCTTTTAGAGTTTTTTTGTAGTTTTAGCGCAAGCCAAGCCGCGGGTTCTGCTAGTAAACAATCAAGCAAATAACGAAAAGTATTCATAATTCATATATAAAGACAATTTACACTTTGATTATTTTATCATTAAAATGTCATTAGTCAATGCACACTGCAACAATCTTTCAATGTACAGCATTTGTTTATTATCTAAGGTCTATCATAAAAAAGTTATATAATCTGTGGCCAGACACAGAGTGCTAACTTAATATGAAAACGACTTAGCCACCATCTTTATGATATACGAAAATGTGATTTAATATTTGATAATAAAGTCTACATTTGACTCTACTTTGATTTGTATAGAGGTAATTGGTTTCGTATTGTTATTTAAAATAAGCTCTATATCTTTATAATAGAGCTCATTTTAGTATGGTATTTTTTTACGTGTACATGTTTTAATGCATCTCATCAAGGTTAGAATGGGAACCATAATTACATAATTTTGTACATTTTTTTATATCTAATAAATGTTAATAAATGGATTATATGCAAAAATATCGACACTTATCAATCTACTCAATCAAAATCTCAAAATATCTTTATTTATATTATATCATTATATGTAACATTTTATTTGGAAATCTATACATATAATAAAATTGTAACTAAGCCGAATCTATACATTAAATATTTTTTGGAAAATATTATTGAAATAGACATTATTATCGATACAGACGCCGAATCTATAGTTTTTAGAATTTTCGTCTGTCTGTCTGTTACCGCATCACAGAAAAAGCACTGGAAGGGTTTTGATGTTTGGTATGGTGATAGCTGGTTATCCGGGTCAAGATATAGGATACTTTTTACCTTCTTCTTCTCCCTGCCCATTTCCCAATCACTTGGGGTCAGTGCAGTACATCTTCTGTACTGCTGCGGGAAAATATTTCATTTCTGAGAAAAATACAAAAACTGCATTGTAAGAGTACCTATACTAATATGTAAAACCTAAGAATTTGCTTTTTTGTCATCTGAACGCAGGCGGAGCCGCGGGCAATGTTAGTTTATAATTATAATTGATTTTCTCTTTTTAATAATTTTAGTTTATAGTTTAATCCATATGATCACGTAAAATCCTTAATAATAAATTATTATCATGCTGTATTTAGTATTTACCTATAACTAAAAGTGCAATTAACATGTTAATGGTAGTGCCTAGATTATTTATGTGTTAACCATTGTAACTGTTGTTGGTAATTCAATAACTAAAATAAATATCTATACATATATTATGTCAAATCATATTACTTTTATATTATACCAGCGACTTATCTCCGCTTCGCTTGGGTGCGTCTCTTGGTAGGAAAGTTTCAGATTTTTTTAGCGGAACCCTAATTCTCCTTTTAAAATAAAAGTAGCCTAAGTTATTCCTTATAAAATCATCTATCTGCCAGTGAAATTCCTGTCATAATCAGTCCAGCCGTTTCGGAGATTAGCAAGAACAAGCAGACAGACAGACAAAAAATTTAAAAATTGTTTTTTTTATAAGTACCGTATATAATTTCATATGCATTTAGTAAAAAGCTGTTATTTTGATTAATACATCTATCTGTATATGTTTGTAATCAAACAGACAGAGATAGATGTATTTTATATATGCTTGCGACAAAGACAGATAGGTATACGAGTACATACCTATACTGAAATTTTCACGCGTTTTATTTTAGATAATTTCTAACAGTAAAATTGATTAAAATGACAATCTATGGCAATCAAAAGTAAGTCTGTTCGCAACACTGATGTACATTTAATATGTATGTATATGATTAGTTTGTACTGATCTGTGTAATGTACTAGACGTGTGTTTTAACGCATAACAGCTATATATATTTATCACAAGGTAGGGGGTTATCTACTTATTTGATCACATTCATATTACATAAATATGTGAGATATAACTGTTTATTTTTGATATTCTAAGCGTGTACCAATAAATGTTAGTAGCATATATATATACTATTAATATTTATTGGTAATATTGCTATGGCTGCCGACGCATAGGAAATAAAACAAAAATTTTCCAAATCAGTTCAGGCGTCTTCGAGTAATTGGTGAACATACATAAAAAAAGATTCCGACGAATTGAGAACCTCCTCGTTTTTGGAAGTCGGTTAAAAACGGCGCGGAATATAATTCGCATCATTATAAATTAAAAAAAATAAATGATTATGATGTTCATATTATATTTCTTTTTTCTTTGTATGTCATTCTGTTTAACTTCTACAAATAATTCTAAACGAATTTTTGATCTAATTTCTAGGCCAAAGATTAATTTAATTTTAAAAATTCTACTTAAGCTAAAGTAATCAACTTGTTATATCTAACTATCACCGAACGGGATTATTATTTAACAAAATTTTTGTGGAGTTATCATTTCTATAGATAATGTCGTAAGTAATTACATACGTGGTGCTTCGACCGTTGGTTTCACTAATTGATAATAATTATCAAATCTTAAGATACAAGTGTAGCCCTTGTACTATTATAATTGTGAAAGTGTGTTTGTTTGTTTGTCTTTCTTTCACGTCGAAACAGAGTGATGAATTGGCGTGATTTCTTGTGTGGAGATTGTTGGAAGGCTGGAGAGTGACTTAGGCTACTGTTTACCGCGGGAGTTTATTTTATTCCCACAGGAAAACACCTTATCACACAACCCACAATAATATACACCATATAACAAAAATGTATATCATATCTATGTATATGTATATAATATGTATATAGTATATTCTACCTATTCCATACTAATAGTAAAAACGTACCTAGGGACGGATTGATCTTAGATTATTTATATGATGTTAATCTAAGGAATTGATATAAATCAATCAATTTTGTCCTTTTGCACAAGTAGGTAATAGCAAAATGTAAGTACCTAATATTATGGATGTACGCTAGGTGTATTTAAATTTTACAGGAAAAAAATAATTACAGAAACAAAAAATGTCTTCGTAAGGAACAAAGTTTTTAGTCAGTTCTTTTTTCATAACAATTTTTTTTATTTAGGTACGGTTTTTTTATTATAGCCATTTACACAATTGGAGGTTTTATGAACAATTCATATTGAATGAAATTTACAAGTTCATGTTTTTAAAGTCCTATATATAAGATATAAAAAATGTGTTGTTTTCAGTTAAGGCATCTAGTTAAGTCTAGTTAAGTATATAGATAAACTTAAAAAGCAGAACCTTATCTAAATACAAAATATAATCCAAATCGTTAGAGCCGTTTCCAAGATACACGAATTAAATATATATTATATTTTGAATTTGAGGGAACGCTAAACTGACAAGAGAATTCAAATACAATACCCTATCTATATAAGGATTATTATTATTATTACAAGCACATACATACGTATCATTATAAAAATTACGACGACCTTGATGCTTAGTAGATATTTCCTTTAGAATTCAATACAGTTAAGAGTATAATAACAATTAAAATGTCGTCGTCGTCCACCTCCACAAACAGACCCCCCCCTTCCCCCCACAGAAGTAGAAATAGAGAATCTGCTTATTGTCAAGTGTTGGGTTTGGCGATGGACGAGCCTTCCTATCTTATATCTACCGCTTTAACTATTTTTAATAATAAGAAAAGTTACATTTTTTAAAGAAAATTATACACTACATTGATGATGTTCTCCTGGCCGATTCCGGCCACGGCGGCCAATCTCAATGAGATTAGCCAACTGCGCAGGAGATATTATAGTGCACAAGTGTACGCGCAGACACAACGTGCACTCTCTATTCTTGTCACTCTCATACTCCGGTGGGACGACACGAGACACGACCAGTGAGAGTTAAGGCGCAGGACCGATGGCTTTACGTGCTCTCCGAGGCACGGGGGTGAAACACCGCCAACTTCCCAAGTCCGGGCTGTTACTGAGGCTTACTATACAGAAAGACACAATAGCTAAACTTGGCCCGACCCGGGACTCGAACCCAGGACCTCCGGGTGTGCAGCCGTACATGCTAGCCACTACACCACCGAGGCAGTCACACTACTACTATATTATAAAATGTATGATATATAATAGGTTAGCTGTATTTTATAATAGGTTTATAAAGAACATTAAAATGTAAACAATAATTACGCTTTTTATGTTTTTCGGCCTTCACCTAATCATGCAAGGGTCATGTTCATTGTCGCCGCGCTGGCCTCTTATTATAATTAATTACCGTAGGCGTAGACTACTTGAAAGCAGTCGTAGCCCAGTGGTAACGCTCGATTGGAAATCCGAGTTTAAGTGAGTTCGGACCCCGGGTCTCGAAATATATATATATATATATATATATATATATATTCATGTGCAATTGATGTCAACATGATTACTACTCGCCTTACGGTGAACATTGCGTGGAAACCTGCATGTCTGACCTTGCAAGTAGTGACCTTTTGAAAGACATGTGAAGACTGGCCGAGATATGTGACGACTCGAAATCCGGACTTGACCAGCGTAGTAGACGTGGAAGGTCCGTGCCCAGCAGTGGGACGTTATAAAATGCTAAACACAGACGATTTTACACAACATACAATTAATATTATAATGTATAGTTTTATTACATACTAGCATTGCCCGCGGCTCCGCCCGCGTAGTCTTACATTGCAGTTTTTGTCATTTTGACCCAGATAACCAATCACCACACCAATTTCATCAAAATCCCTCCAGTGGTTTATCTGTGATGCGGTAAAAGACAAACAGATAGACAAACAGACAGACACAAAAATTCTAAAAATTATAGTCTCGGCCTCTGTATCGATAATAATGTCTATTTCAATAAGATTTTCCAAAAAATATCTAATATACAGATTCGGCTTAGTTACAATTTTATTATATGTATATAGAAAACTTTATATAGAAAACTATAAGAACATTCAGGGACTAATAAATGTTTATCTCCTAGCTAACATTTCATAGTTTTGTTTCTTTAAATAGCTAATTTAATAGATCGTAAGCACACAATATTTTATTAACCGACTTCCCAAAAAAAGGAGGAGGTTCTCAATTCGTCGGAATCTTTTTTTTTATGTATGTTCACCGATTACTCGAAGGTATCTATTCTAAATGAAAAATTCTGTTTAGTTATTTTTTACATTTTAGTGCCTGGAAGTCGGTTTATATTTTTTTTAAGTTTTTATTTGATAATAAAGGTGTTGAGATTATCGATAAGAGACCTTCTCAAAACAAAATGATGTTTATAAACAGTATAAGTGTGACGTAACTTGCTCTCATTGGTTTTTCAACCTTCACATAACTTTGTTAAATTATCTTTGTGATTTTTTTTTTACGGATTTATTTTGATTTTTGGTTCCCCAACCAAAAACCAATAATAAAAAAGTTCGAAGAGTTTTATTTAAAATGTCAAATATTCGCGTAATATATAAGAAAGTATTCTGCTATTTTATTTTTACCGAAATATTTTTATTATTATTTATCTATTGTATACATATATAAATATAAAATTAGTCTATGTTTGTGTCAGTCAGGGTTCTGACTTCTGACCATCAATTAAGTTTAGGGTCACTAACATAGTGACAACGTAATCTGTATGTAAAACAAAGGCAAAACACAAGGTAATATAAGGATTAGAATAAATGAATGGTTCAATCAGATATTGTTCTGAGATTGTCATTCAATAAAAAATGATTTAATTACAATGCTACATAAACTTGTTTAGAATGAACAAAAACATCCTAATCTACCAAAAAATAATCAGTTTATTACCGAAAAAGATAACGTACGGACGTTAGTTAGATATTGTGAAAAATGATCCCATCAAAAACATTCTGTAAAAAAATTGCAAGTCTCGCAACGCACTTCTTCTACCGCAAAAAGCTATGAGATGTAATGTAAAACCAAGTCGGTTAATTTATTCATTACCTATCTATGGAAGCATCTATCCGACAACTTTGTCATAAATCGTTACCGAATTAGTTAAGTTACAACATTTTATAGCGATCGTATTAATATTAGATATATTTATTTCTTTAATTAATAGAATGACTTGGCCATCGCACGGAAACATAATTACATATGAGTCTACTACTTTAAATAGTCCTAATTAAACATATCATGACCAAGGTGGACGGACGACTTGGTCAAAGTCGCTTGAGCCCACTGGATGCGGATAGCACAAGACTGGTTGTCGTGGAACTTTTTGGGGGAGGCCTATGTCCAGCTGTGGACGTGTTTGGGCTGAGATGAACTGAACATAGCACTAGCGGGTCAAATTTATGCATACACTAACATAAATAATGCACTCAGAACGCTAATTTTAGGTAAATTTTGTTATTTGTAGATTCTATTATCATGTGCGATGGCCAAGTCATTCTATTAATTAAAGAAATAAATATATCTAATATTAATACGGTCACTATAAAATGTTGTAACTTAACTAATTCGGTAACGATTTATGACAAAGTTGTCGGATAGATGCTTCCATAGATAGGTAATGAATAAATTAACCGACTTGGTTTTACATTACATCTCATAGCTTTTTGCGGTAGAAGAAGTGCGTTGCGAGACTTGCAATTTTTTTACAGAATGTTTTTGATGGGATCTCATTTCTTTTTGTAAATATTTCTTCTTTTTCTTTTTTCTTGTAATATTTCTTGTGTGTCAGCTAAGGTCTTTTTAAAGCCCACTCCTTGTCTCTGTGGGCTTTTTTCAGAGGTTTTGATATAGGTAACAAATTTTGACAAGTCTGGATGATGAAAAATCTAAGTCTATTGTATTGGGAAATTACGGACTCCTGGACTTTAATACTACTATCTTATGCATTAAGTATAAATATGTATAGTTAATTTAACGAATATTTTAATTTCATTGTTCACCCTAAA